TGTTGTTGTTGTTGTTGTTGTTGTTGTTGTTGTTGTTGTTGTTGTTATTGCTTTTGTTGTTGTTGTTGCCGTTGCTTTTTGTTGTTGCTGCTGTTGTTGTTGCTGTTTTTGTTGTTGCTGCTGTTGTTGTTGCTGTTTTTGTTGTTGCTGCTGCTGTTGCTGTTGTTGTTACCATTGTTGATTTTGTTTGTTGCTGCTGTTGTTGTTGCCGATTCTACAGTTGACATCTCAGTATTAAGCGCTCTCATTAGTATTATGTAGTCATTGTTGCTGTTGTTATTATTGCTACAGCTATTGCTAACACCGTTGTTTAAAAACCCTCACAATCAACTATAACCCAACCCTAATCAATCCCCTCATTCGATTTCAGATCATGTGGTTCCAGTGGCAATAATCTCGCACTGTCTTGGCATGCTAATACTCTACATTAGCCGAAGTGTAGTAAATTTAATCGGTTGTCCCTGTGGCACAAGAGTAGATTCTCTAGAAACCCTAAGCGCTTTCGATACTACAGTAGGAAGCGTCATACATCTCTCAAACAAGAAGGCCACATCATCGGCAGATCCAGAGAAGGACGAAGACCTTAGTACGTTTAGGAAATTAATTGTTAGGACGTCTTCAGAAACGGATAATGGTACAACCATTAGTGTTATCAAGTAGTTAGAATTTAGTTTGTACAGTTACTTCTCAAGGATATTCATAGCGAAATTTTATAACACAACCAGGGGTATGGCTTAAAAATTTCAGTAAAATAATGCACTCAAATGAGTCAAAATATTGAGAAAAATTACTCATTAACAATTCATGAGCAAATTTACTAAAGTAAAAATTAATTTACTAAAAACATTCAGTGAATTTAAAACTTCAATGCTACGCTAAGGGAGCGGTCATTATTTCGGGGGTGGCACCGAAAGAAAAGGGTTGGGTAAACAACATTTTGAGTGAGTAAAAGGTTGGGTAAATGAAAAACAAAAAAACTCAAGGGTTGGGTAATAAAAATTTATTATCATTTCCAAAGCATGACTCGCTCGAATATTGGAGACAAAAAAGCAATGTCAACAGTCATATGTCAATACAATATGTAAATCAATCAGAGTCACTGTCTTGATCATTTTCCGATTTGTCAGGAGGCAAATGGTGTCTCCAAAGAAAGTACATGTGCAGACAACATGAAATTTTAGACTGCAGAAAATTGTACAAGCAGTTATCAAACTCATGTCACAGAAGTGGTAAAGGACATGTGTGACAACTGAACGGTATCCTTTTGTAAAGTTTTTGGCCAGGGTGGGTATTTATTTTTTAATTCATATTTGAGATTGGGTAAAAATTTAACTTTTTAATGGTTGGATCAGAAATATTTTTATCGAGAAAAACGTTTCTCTTCGGTGCCAATGCCCCGCCATAAATAATGACCGCTCCCTAATAATGTCTTCGCAATTTTGTAAACGACAAAAAAATATGGATTGCACTTAGAATAGGAAAGCAAAAGCTTTGTAAATTTGGGGAAATCAACAAGCTGTAAATTATTATTTATACCGTAGATGAATGAGACCATATATATCATTGGAATGGGAAATGCAGTGACTTTATTGGCAGTGATACTGTGAACAAATCATGTCTGATATTTTTATGATAGGTCTAATGCAATTCAGCACATTTTGCGCGCACAGCATATTCTACGCGCGGGTTTTAAGCGTGCTACCTTCCGACTTCATGTAAAGCGCCGAGAAGCATAGCCATCAACTTAATGTCTGCTCCAGAGGGCAGAGGGAAATGGTTACTTTTATAATAATATACATAAAGATATTACTCGACTGTGATTGGTTGATTTCAGTGCAGTTAATCCCAAACAGCAGTGCAATTTTCAGTAATCACAGTGCAATTTTCTGTAATCACAGTGCAAAAATCTGTAACAAACTGATCTGATTCGTGGAAAAACATTGTGATGATTAAATCAACCAATCAGTTTAAAGCAATTTGGTTTAAAGAAGTAACGGTCACAGATTGTTTCAAAACAAAACAAACATGGCGACGCGCTACATGAAGTGAAAGTTGACTTCGGTTGAAAAATATGGCTTTTATCTTTTTTAAATGGAAAAGCCTTTGCCTTAAACAAGTCTAACAAAACTTACATAGTTGAGTGGAATTTTCAAGCTGTCAGCGTTGTATAATGTGATATAACAAAGCCAGGAAAACTTTGCTATAGTGGATTGTTCGCTATATTAAACGTAAGTTAAAACAACAATTGTCTCGAACATTTTTATGTAAATTATTAATTAATAAGTAATATCATGGTTTCTCGTGAAATTTGGATAAACATGCACTCGCGAGTTTTTCAAAGACCTCAAAATAGCTCTCGTCCTTCGGACTCGTGCTATTTTGAGGTCTTTGAAAAACTCACTCGTGCATGTTATATCCAAATTGCACTCAAAACCATGCTATTACCTATACTTATCCCAGAGTCTCAATGTGTTCCGAGACGAACTCGAGGGAAACATCGAGATAACAACAATTGTATTTCATGACTCTTTAGTGTAAACGAGTTTAAAGCCTTAAAGGAGATTGGCAATAAAATATTAGTTTAGTTTATTTGAAAGAACTCTTAAAACTATATATTAAACTCTATTACAGATTGTTTAGATCTTGCTTCGTTTTCAAAATATTTCGACTGAAAAAAGTGAGCTGTTCGCCATCTTAGATTATTGAGGATATGCATGTTACGTCAAGAGAGGGGTCACGCTAATTTTTTATCTTGAGAGTAAACGATCAATATGGGTCCAAAACTTCGTTTCTGGTTGCTGTCTGAAATTTAGAAATAATTAAAAACATTTGAAACAATCTTGGATTGTTACTCGGTCATTTTAGAGTAGTTTTATATGGTTAACCCAACTCCTGACGTCATCAAAACCATAGTTAATGAGGTCAAGAATTAGTCCAAGATGGCGAACAGCTCATTAATTTCGCTCTAAATATTTCGAGAACTAAGCAAGATACGACAAATCGGTAACAGAGTTTAATATATAATTTAAGAGTTCTTTTGAATGAGACAAACTAATTTCCTACTTAAACGGTTTCAGCAGCATATCTTATTGCCTGTTGTATATTTTTCTTCTTCATTTACGTTCTTTATTTTAACACAAACTTGGAAAATCGTAGTTTAAACTTGGTAAACTTGCAAGCTGTGCTAATCACGTTTGGTGTTCAACACTTCAACCAAGCTATACCGAGTAATACCGGGTGTTCCCCCCCAAAATCTGGACACTGTTTCGTTTCATGTAACTTAAAAGCTATAAAGCTATCGCAATGAAATAAAGATCACCACATTCAGAAAGGACTAACTAAGATTTTGGTATTTGACACTTGAATTTACATGCAATATTGAGGGAGATACAACCAAATTAAAAATATTTATTATTTAACAAGTAATAACTACATCGGTAATTATAAGGTTGTTTTTACAGCTAATTTTTGACATTTTCAAAAACAGTAGTTCAACGTTGAAACATCAATAGCGCAATCAATATTGCATGTAAATTCAAGTGTTATACATCAAAATCTAAGTTAGTCCTTTCTGAATGCAATGATCTTTATTTCATTGCGATAGCTTTTATAGCTTTTACGTTACATCACTTACATGAAATCAAACAGTTTCCAGTTTTTTGGGGGACACCCGGTATCACAACGCTATTTATTGACCCAATATCGCTACTGTACAATACAAAAACTCTTAAGAATCAGCTTACAGTTTCCATATCATAATTTTTCGCCGCTCCAATCCATTCACCCTCAACTGTCATAAGAAAACCGGTCTCCATGTTGTTTGACATAAACTTTGAAAGCCTTGCCGTATTTATTCAGTCTATAGAGTTCATTGTCGATGATTTTGTATCGTCGACGGCGTCGTTTGGGAGGTCTGGTGTCTAGTATCTCGTTGTCTTCTGAGACAAGTTCTGGCTCGAGTTCCCAAGGCTCCGTTTTCTATTTTAAGAGAAAGATTGAAGAAAGCTTTAGTCATTGAAAAATCAGTTTAGAACTGATAGAGCTATCCAGTATAAATAAAGTTAGTTTAGTTCAGGTTTCCTCTTGCATGTAGTAACACTGGATAGTCTGGGTCAATAAGAGATGATCCTTACTGGACCTCTAGGAAGAACAGTTTAGAACTGATAAAGCTATCCAGTATAAATAAAGTTAGTTTAGTTTAGTTTTCCTCCTGTAGTAATACTGGATCAATAAGAGATGATCCTTACTGGACCTCTAGGAAGAACAGTTTAGAACTGATAGAGCTATCCAGTATAAATAAAGTTAGTTTAGTTTAGGTTTCCTCCTGTAGTAACACTGGATCAATAAGAGATGATCCTTACTGGACCTCTAGGAAGAACAGTTTAGAACTGATAGAGCTATCCAGTATAAATAAAGTTAGTTTAGTTTAGGTTTCCTCCTGTAGTAACACTGGATCAATAAGAGATGATCCTTACTGGACCTCTAGGAAGAACAGTTTAGAACTGATAGAGCTATCCAGTATAAATAAAGTTAGTTTAGTTTAGGTTTCCTCCTGTAGTAACACTGGATCAATAAGAGATGATCTTACTGGACCTCTAGGAAGAACAGTTTAGAACTGATAGAGCTATCCAGTATAAATAAAGTTAGTTTAGTTTAGGTTTCCTCCTGTAGTAACACTGGATCAATAAGAGATGATCCTTACTGGACCTCTAGGAAGAACAGTTTAGAACTGATAGAGCTATCCAGTATAAATAAAGTTAGTTTAGTTTAATAGGTTTTCTCCTGTAGTAACACTGGATCAATAAGAGATGACTCTTACTGGACCTCAAGGGAGAACAGTTTAGAACTGATAAAGCTATCTAGTATAAATATAAAGTTAGTTTAGTTTAGGTTTTCTCCTGTAGTAACACTGGATCAATAAGAGA